CTATCTTATTTTTAATCAGGGATCATAAAATTAAACCAGCGCCAGTTTCCCTTTGTCTTTTGAGAGGAGTTCGTGAAGGAGCCTGGTGGGCATTGGGTTGGTTACAATGACGACTGTTGGGTAAGTAGAAGGAGAGTACTGTCACGTAATGTGAGTAGGAAAACCTTTACTCCTTTTCAACATGAAATTGCTTCAGTTGCGTTAATAAGGCAGGATCATGCAACCATCCCTTTGTGGTCATGGTCTTAGGATCATGATTAAAATGTGTAATTTTAAAAAGTCTCCAGCCTTGTTGGAAGGAAGAAACCATCGTTAAAATAATTATTAAGGGAAGGCATCTAGCTTCATACAATGCCGTAAATGTTACGCTGGCGCTATGATTGGTCGTTTCATTATTTAATAGAGGCCAGATACGTGGATGACGTCACGGGAAACTAAAATGTAATAAACTAAAAAATGCTTGAATATTTTTAAAAAAGATAAACCAGTGAGCAAAAACTTGGGTGAACGTCTTGAGTTGTAAAGTTGTTTTATTGTTCCCTACGCGTTTTGTGTGATTAGCGCACATCTTTGTTTTACCACGTTTTGATGTCCTCTTTAACCTATTACTAAACAGACGCAAGGCAACATTGAATTTATTTCAAGTAGTAACTGAAGAGGAGTTAATCTGTTGCTAAGACGGTAAGGCATTTTCTGCATGGGATGTTACTTGTTCTGATTAGGAATGATGTAAGCAGAAGGGTTCGAAAGGAACAGACTGCCTGCCGACAGAGAGAATCACTGAAAAAGAACAGATTTTATAATAAGCACTTAGAACACGCGAATGAGAGGGAGACTAATTCTAAATAGGGACAAGGGACAAATATGCCCGCATTAATGTCACAGATTCCATGCGATTCCATAAGCTTTTGGATCATCATGAGAAAATTTTGGAATACCTAGAAAAATGCTTAGAAAATATAATGATTTTAAGGGAGAGAGTCTGGTTAAAACATCAAGCCAAGAAGTTTCATTCAATCAAAAAATGACTCAGTTACTAATAGTAAGCCTTGGTTCAATAACTTTTGCAAAAATTTTGGAATAACTTGTGAAAAATGCTAGAAATATAATGATTTTTAAGGAGAGTCTGGTTAAATATCAAAGATTTCATTCAATCAAAAAAATGACTCAGTTAGTCAGCCTTGGTTCAATAACTTTGCAGAATTTTCGTATGATTTTTTCGGAATGTTTTTAATACAAAATAAACATACGGGAAGGGTGTTTAAATTTTTCGAAACTTGAAAAATATTGATTTGGGGGTTGTTAAAAAAAAATTAGAATGTAAAAGTGAATGATAAGTATGGTTAAATGCCATATAGTCCACTACCACAACAAGGTGCCTTTGATCCCTTAAGCGGGACTTATTGGTTTATGTGTATACCTTTTCTACCCCCTGACTTATTTTTCTTCCCAAATCAACATCATTTCCCACACAAAAGCACCCAGATTGCCCCCCTTTAATAGCAGACAAGGCTTTTGACCGTGCAGTTGTAGACAACAAATAACAACAAGAACAACAACGACACAGCATCTGTCCCGGTTGGTGGTGAATTGAGTCATGATGAAGAAAAAACAGTGTGGAAACGTTAAAACTTTGAGGAATGGGCACGCGCAAAAAGCAAGGAGAGGATTGTGGGTGAACGGTGGACAGATGGAGGATCTTTTTTAAGAGTTTGTTAGCCTTGGAGCCTTACGTTGTCAACGAAATATATCGAAGATCAAAATGGCAGTAAAGAGGACAAAAAGGGAGTGCCGAGTGGGGTTAAGCAGACATCAACATGAGTTGTGAGCGGCAACGTAGGTGTAATTTGCGCTAGGGCAGGCCATTACCTGGGTGGGTGAGAATGACGGCATTGCACTAGTCGAGTATAGGTGTTAGATCGAAGAACGCGTGGAAAAGGGAGACACGACTTGGAGTGAGGACTGTGGAGAAAGAATGGAACATAGCAGGTTGGACGAACAAGAATATGGCCAAAGAATATGACAGGCAGCATGGCGGCCTTTTAGAAAGTTCTCAGTGACACGGAGAGACACAAACGAAGATGGTGATATTCAGTAGGATTCTTTCCAAGAGCTCCACATTCCTTACTTCGTCAAACGGTTGCGTGTCTGGTTACTGTTAACTTCTGTAAAGAAATTAATGACATAATTACCGTGACATTATCTGGTAATACAAGTAGAAGAATATTAAAAAAAATGAAAAAATGAAACAACGTTAATTTTCATATACATTTTTCCCGTATAGAGGCAGTGGCTTACGAGCTCGAGAAAAAGTTAACCTGGGGATGGGTGGCATAACTTGTTCTTGGTAGTGTAGAATAATTCTTTCCTTTGTCTTCGATATGGGATAATAGACCCAAGTCTCTACCGGCTCGTATTTATTCCGCTGTCTGGATGATTGCTGGTACGATAATCCTCTCAATGTTCACTGCCGAAGTTACGTCTGGAATGACGTCTGAAAATTGATGCCTCATGACATGTACCTGGGAAAAAAGTAATTTTTCTTCCCCTTCATTTTACTGTAGGCACAAGGGAATGATTGAAGGTGGAAAGGGGGGGGTCCAAAACACATACAACAACTTCTTAATGTATGTTTAAAAACAGGCGAATATGACAGATTAACGAACAAGAAAATAACTGACAGAGAATACCCGATAACAACAGCATTTCTTCAATAAACCACTAGTTTACAGTTAACCTTTTTTTGCTCTCAACTGTTTCCTGCACGATAATAGACCCTTTTCAACGCGGTTTTCAAATTTTGACATGGACCCGTTTGTGAAAATCTTCCGGGTCCGCTGAAAAAGATCCTAAAAAAGCACAATAGCCAAGTTTGAGAATGATTTGGAAAAAAAGGACGAAGAAATAACTCTGCAAAGTCGCAAATGTCTCCGCAGGCGTTTCTGTGTGATGGGGAAAGTTAGATACGCCCCACCATGCCAAAACCACTATGTAAAATTTAGGCAGCCATATCTTGCATTAGCCGTTTACTCATATTAAGGCACCTTCGCGGGGTCAATAGAATCTGATTGCAAATATGGCGACGATTTTTACCAAAGCGAGGCTTTTCGGTAGCGACCGCTGCTAGGGGCCGGTTGCCTGTGTTTACCTCGTGCCAAGCTGTTGAAAGACTGCTGCTTCTCAGGGCGTCTTTTTCCTTTTAAATTCGACAAAAAATAAGTCAATTTTCTTCGCTGAAAAAGGAAGCTATCTGGTATGTACCCTTTGAATACCGTTTTTCAAACATGGTAAATTGAACGATCAACTGACGCACAGCGATATCAGACAGAGTGGATTTTGTAGCGATCGCGATAACTTTGACTGCCTGATATTTTATATCCGTTGTATTTAAGGTTCATAAGCTTAAATCATTATGGCCCTAAAAGCTGATCTTTCAATTTTTAGAATTGATTGCATGCATGCCATTTTTGCTGTAAAATTTATAAATAGTGAAACATGCGGATAGTTGTTGCGTGCCTTTGTGCTGCAAGAGTGGTTATCATTAGGGCTGGGTGGGAAAAAGATCACGTATCATTGCCTTCCATCGGATGCTGTAAGACTTAAGGTACTACTTTCAAAATACTTTGTTCATTTAACCTATCGTTTCAGATTTCGATATTCTCGATACGACTTATACTTCAGGGAGTGCTCGGTGTGAAAATTCGACGAGACCTTGCATTTCAAGATAACTGATTTTCGTGTAACCTTAACTGGTCGACGATATTTAAAGGATGATGCTATTCCCTCAGTTTCTCAAGTTTCATGGTCGGCAGCATCCCCTAAGCGAAAATCACCACGTGAGAGGTCACCAAGCCATTCCATTTATATATTATTTTACTCTCTCGATAACTCGAACCATGTTTTGAGCCCTTAAAAAGTCAGGGGAAAACCAGTCTACTGGCGTCAAAACATTGAATTTTGAATTCCGTTGACGTGTTGTAGGCATATAGTTTACTAGTGGAGGTTGATGTTGTTTGTCGGGCAAATCTAACGTGAAACAGCTTTACTCTCTCAAAACAGTAAACGCATGCTCTATTTAGGCAACATTTTGTTCGGTTACGTTCTGATTTATAATCTAGAAGTATCTTTCAATTTTCACTTAACATTATTTCTTACAATTAACTGTGATTAAAATGTTCACTGTGTAGTAAAAATTGTCAGTTTTTCCTTACTCCTGGCTATTTTCTTCGAGCTTCCATAACTCGATCTTTCGATTTCCCTTGAAGGTTCGAGTTATCGGGAGTCAGCTGTATAGGCAAAGTAAAAAGCACCGACCTTTATTTAACACAACGAACTGACGTTAACTTGAACGTTTTATATTGTTTCCAGAGTAAAAAACAATAAGATAACGAATTTGCATTAGCATAAAAACAAGCGATCAGCCCCTGAGCAACGGTTGCTACCGAAAGCCCTTGCTTTGGTGAGATCGTCGCCATATTTGCAGTCGCTCTATAGACAGCCCTGTATATTGGGGACCTTTGTCGACGAGGCTAGCCGTGCACAAACAAAGCTTTTAAAATCCCCTAAGACAAAATGTCCGCCGTGGGACAAAAGTTGGGTCTATCACGTTTTTCTTCTTTTTTGTTGGTTTTTAGAGCCTCTATTATTGCCATGCAGAACGGCCTGGTACCATAGAGTTCTCTCGTGTTATAGAGATACTTAAAAGGGCTTGTACAAACACCGGTCATCATAATTATTTTTCCCCTGTTTGATAATGTAGCAGTTCATGCTTGACATCTGCAATTGTGTGTAATGCTTTTTCAGAGATAAATTCCACCGGAAGTTTGATTAAAGACTTGAAAAAAGGAACTCGTGGAATAGAGGGAATAGTTCTCCATGACTGTGAAGAATTTGATGAAGGCACAAACGAAAAATTTCAGTCTGTACGGGCGTTGAGAAATCCCTACGTTGGAATATTCCTCAAAGGTGCTTCTCGCAAGACGAGATCGTGTGTTCAGAATATGGTGGAAGAGCATCACCATGTAACTGAATCCTTTGACGAAGCTCCAAAATGCGAGAAGAACTCCCCAATTGATATGAACGAATACGGTTCAAGAAAAGGCTTAGACCATCGAGAAGTAACCAGCATCATCATGTACGTTTCTACTGGTCTTGTTGTGTTGATGATTGTGGCAGGCGGTGTTTGGAATTTGATGAAGACAAGGAATCTTCCCAGAAAAAAGGAAGGTAAGAGAAAGGTCTGGTTTAAAGGATTCATTCATTACTTTCAATTTCGGTTCAAGATCACAATTTTTCTTGTCTCAGGTAAACAATACCGATACCCAGAAAGGTAATAAGCTATTCTCGCCTCATCTGAATTCCGGAGTCCGGGCAGTTTTTGCCCGCTTAATTTTGGAATCCGAAAACCAGGAACAATTTGGCTTGTGGAATCCGGAATTCTGGGCTTTGGAATATGGAATACCAGTCAAGGAATCCGAAATCCTACTTAAGATTGGAATCAAGAATATATAAGTTTCACGGACAAATAGTGGAATCCATCCGGAATCCACAGCCTGTAATCCAGAATCCAAGACTGTCTTGGATTTCCTTACATAGGGTGATTGTTCGTCACGTAGGCTCTATTCCTTCTTCCAGCCCTTATATTCATTTTCTTGTTTCAGGTAACGTTGGAGACCATGGGAGTGTAGAAATGAATGCGACAGAGGAAGAAATAGAAATCAGAGTGATCAAAGAAGACAAAGATGTGAGGAGAAGCTTGGAGGCCCCTTCAACAACTGAAGTTCAATTAGAATAATAGAATAATCTTTATTATACTCTTGTCGATGTGCATTTTTTGTATTAAACATAATGTGTAAGCGAGGAAGCTAAATGAACCAGTTGGTTCTCTTGTTAGCTCCCTAAACAAGTTAGGTTCTAGGTAGCAATGTTAAATGATCAAAAGAAATACAGAAAGAAAAAAAAAGCAAAGAAGGAAGACCTCATTTACATGTAATATGACGCGTCATCAGCATAAAGAAAATTTATCTCATTTGTTGTTCTGACAGTAAATAACGTATAATTCTCTTCGGAAATGCAGAAACTCTTGAGTTGTAAATTAAAATGAGTTGGAAGGCCTTTCCAAATGCAATAAAGGAAATGGATTGTCTGCCTAAAAGAAAAAAAAAACCTGGGAACCTTAGTAGTGACAGCGCCATAATCTGCTTAATTAATACGCGAATCATATGCATGGTTACACACAGTCAACTGTCTCTTAGCTGATTAAACCGCTGGGACTAGGACATTGTGTTTGTTACAGAGATTCCCTTTTTAATATAGATGATCAACTAAAACAGGAGTGAAAAAGGCAGGGACTAGCTCTAGGTGTCTCATTAAAGGGTTAACCTTTACCACGAGAAAATAATGGGACAAAGGGGTAGTCTTAGGGCGTTGGCCGGGATATGTGAATTTCACATAAGTTATTTGTAGAGGTTGTATCCACATGGAAGTCTAATTCCTGGGACGTCCACACACTGCAGGCAATTGTTTAAAACGTCATCAAGTCCAAGCGCGACTGCCGGAAAGCAAACAATGCAGAGTACTGTAATGGCGACTGTTGAATTCAATCTATGCAACACGGAATAATAGTTTGCCGACCTCTCTGAAAACTTTCCGAATAATTCCAAGCGTTTAATTGGTCTAAAATTAACTTTGGTGAAATTCACATATCCGGCCCAAGGGCTAGACTGGGCGCTCCATCTCTGTTCCATTATTTTCTCCTGCCTTTTACCTTTGCAAAATTGCTTGGTCAGCTTTAGCAGGTCACGAAAAATAATTCGGGCGTAAAAAGCCAATCAGAAACTTAGAAATAAGTTGAATGAATGATAACAATAGAGTTATTTGAAAAGTTCATTAAGGACCATTAAAAAATGTTTTAAGCAAAAGAGTGACTAAACAATGTTAATATATAGTCAAGATATTTAGCCAGGGATAAAAGTGAAACTCCCATTAATAAATTTATAATTTAAATCAAACAATAAACTTGTATTCCACAATTCAACCTAAGAGCGCATTCATGTGACTTTTTAGTGAAAGGCTAAGAGATTTTAGGTAAAAACAATTTGCAAACAGCCCAAGAGTGAACCAAATCTTACGTCGAGTTGATAGCCTCATATGTACACCCAAAAAATATCAATAATCTTCGATCACATTTAAGAGCTATAATGGCTTTTGATCACCGTGGATTAATTAGGCCTGGGAAAAAAATCAGGCCGAAATTTTTTGCGTTCGACAACTTTACTTTACGAAATCTTGTCAACAAATCTGAGTGCTCGTAAACCAACCTTTCATACCATTTATATATCACATCTGAGGTGAAACAGTACTATGAGGCACTGTTTTTATCATACAGACCTCAGACAGAATGCAGTATTTTACAATTTTGCAATACAAACTGCACTCATTCAATATTCAGGACGATCGAAGCAGGAGTGGTCTTTTAGCTAAACCGTTCAAAAAATTTCCAAGATCACCTATACCAGGGGCACCCAACGACAATTTTCGGAAAAATATCTGTTCGGAAGACGATTTGAGATCTAGAATTTTCGGAACATTTGTTGTAAAATTTCTTGCTTGCCTGCCTCTCCTAGGATTTTCGAACATCTAAAAAATGGTAAAATTGCCCATTTTCAACGGATTTTTACTCTAAAAAGGTCACCTAGAGTTTTCGGGAGCCTTTTTTCTGGCTGACATTTTCGAACAGGTAAGTTTTGATCCTTATAATTTTCGGATCACTAGACTTTCAGCTAGGAAATCCGAACAGATGAAAAATTTATAAGGGATAAAAATATGCCCATATCCACCGTTTTAATACTAAAACACGTTTAACAATGCAATGTCTAAGTGGTTTTGAACTATATTCTCGTTGGATGCCCCTGCTATACGGCCAGCCGGTTCTCATTTTGCAGTGCGAGCTGCGGTCGAGTGTTTGAATGAACATTAATTGAGTTACGCTCTAACATAATAAAGAATTTATTATGTTTATTTTTTTATTTAATAGTTTTATCGATGTGTAATCTTCAAAAGCGTTTGATACGCGCGGCATTTTAAGTACTCCTACAAGCGATGTTCACCGGACGACTGAAAACAAACGGCACAACGATTAAAATTACAAGAGAGACTACTAACAATCAATAAAAGAAATATAATTCGGTGAAACATATACAGAGACAACAATCTTCATTCACGAGGACAAGCATTAAAGTGTCTCTAAAAATCGTGAGTCTTCAAGCTTAAAGCATAAGTTAATGTTTTAATTAAGCCGGCTTCCCAGTGTTTGCCTTTTCCAAAGATGAACTCGAGGCAAGAAAATCGCTCAAAGCTTTCTTTTACAACCAGAATTGTAGCTAAATATTATTTGAAACGTTTTCTTTCTACTTGCGGTTAGAAAATGTCTAAAGGCTTTTTAAAGTTCTGTAAGCTTATATCAAACCTGATACTCAGTCAGATCATTGTCTTAAATCTTACAAACGTGCATCAACTAAATAGCCGCATAAACCAAGATCGACTTCATTAAATTAGATAATATATAGATTTATCCAGGGCTAAAAGCAAAGCTCTAGTTAATAATACGTGTAACCAAAAAAAATTAAATCGTGTAATGCTAAACGGGAACGACAATGGAAATGGCTTCAAGACAAATAGATCTAATAAGCAAAAACACAAATTGCACATGCAGCACCCTTTTTCTCTAATTAGAAAAAAAAACAAATTTGCACGTGCAGTACGCTTTTTTGTCTTTCCCTTACCGTTGTGTTGTACGACTAGAACGCTGTTTTGTACGACTAAAACGTCAAACTTCCTAGTTACACATTATTTTTATGGAGGAATCGTCGTATGTGCTTACCCAATATTTTGTTTCCTGTGTTAATGTTCTCTTTTATTTTTCACTGCCACTCATTTTCACCTCGCTGGCCGCTAGCATTTCTCATTTTCTCACCGCCGCTTCGAATTTCCTTGTTTTTCTTCCTACGAAATTCGTCTCCTTTGTTTTCAATAACACGCTCTAGCTCTTTCTCTGTTATCCAAGTTATTGTAAACATAAAAAATAACGCCGAAAAAGACACGACTTTGTTGTTGTTTTTTCTTTCTAAAAGTCCGGGCGGCCATGTGATTTCGTTCCAAATAAAACCTTGAGTTGCATTTGGGTTGCCATACCTGTTGATTGAGTTATTTTACATTGGCATGCCTGTGGTGCGGACGGACGGTCGCTCGTTCGCTCGCTCGCTCGGTGTACGGTCACGTGATTACCAAATTTTCTCGGATGCTATAGATTACCACATTTCCTTAGCTATGGGGCTCCGCTCATGCGCAGCGCTTCGCGCCGGGCGTCAGGCTCCGCTATTAAAAACAAACATCAAATACAATAATTACTCAGGCTTACCTTTCGAGATGCAACTCCTGAAAGGTATCAAGTAAGGCCAGTATCGCTTCAGACTTTTCAACCCTCTTCCGCATCAAGCGAGGTGAAAAACGAAAACGGTGCTATCCGAAATCGGATTTCCGAATTTGACAAGTGACGTATTTCTCAACCAAGAACCCAATAAACAAACTAGTCATGAATAACAGAAGACTCCTGATATCAGCTGAATTTCATTTTGTACATCCAGTGGAAAAATACTGTTAAAACTTCAACTGTCAAAGTAAACAAGATTCAAAATGCTGCATAAAATTTCGGCATAAACTCACCTGTTAACTTTTTGACCAATAAGGGCATAAAAATTGGGCGTAGAGCGTGACCAACGCGTGACCATGGTGGGCAAAGTTAAAAAGCAACTGTGTGGCTGAATTTTCGCGTCCGAGGTCAGTTTAAAATCAAAATTTTAATTGTGCGGCACATGAGCACAGCATATTCATATGAATTTTTAAAAAATTAAGCTTGAGCCTGCGATCATTTGAGGACTAGTAACTTGTCAGCGGATAACTTCAAAAAATACTTGACCTCGATGGTTCTACACCTGAGCCCCCGATACAATAAGGTTATACTGGTTAGCGGATACCGGTCAGCTGTCAATTGATTACAGCATTGATGTCCAATATGAGTGCATTATTATTTTTCCTATGCTCCCAAACTAGCTACAAAGTATGAGATTGAACATTGATCGCGATCTAATAAAACAATTAACTGATCAGCAGACAGCTTCCAAACAAATCACGTCACCTCGATGAGTTGACACACGAGCCCGCGATATGATCATGTGATACTGGTCGCTGTCTATCCCGTTTTGACAGCTGTCAATTGACCATATTGTGAATGTCCAACATAAAAGATGTGGATTCGCCAAGACATGCCTGAAACACCCCTCCCTTCCTTTTGATAGTCTCCCCTACCCCACCCGTACAATCTGTAGACGCGTACGCTCGGTCAATCACGTGACAACCAAACGAAAAGAGGTTGACCATATTATATGAGTATGGGGCTCTGTCCCACGCGCGCTATAACTAGTCGTAGAAACTACTGATCCGTGACAGAGCCTTTCGATATAGTGGAAAAATGGGCAAAAGTTACTGAATAATTCAGTTATTGTTGTAGTGTTTCGGAAAACAAGACCATAGGTAGCAGAAACCTTATTTAAATGATGCGCAATTTATACACACTGAGACAACAACGGACATCAGTGGTTCCCCGCGAAATGATGACTGTGGAACGACTGTAGAGATGCCATACTGATGACGTATCACTACCCAGACCTGGGTTGTTCTTCTGATTGGTTGAAGTAACTTTCCCTCGCTGCACGACCAACTGGAAGCACTACCTAG